ATCACGAATTTGCAACATTTGGAAACATGTTTGCTATGTTTTTAATGAACCCCAAAAGTATATGTTTTCTACGTCATTCGCATACACATGCATGCTCATTTATGATATGTCAGCAGCGTGAGTGAGCTTCAAATACTGTTGACAGATAGAGTCCTTTTTAAAACAAACCCTAATCAATTTGATATTTTCTTTTTTTATTTAAAACGTACGTGAATCATGTAGGAAAAAAGTGATCGTTAAATATTTCTGTAGACTGCAGTTTCATACATCTCCACCAGAACTACTTGGTGACGTACGTTACATATTTTTATAGTTTACCACCGTCCATCGATATGAACCTTACGGCATAAACTTATAAACTGAATATACTATTATAAAAGGTAATCTAGTAGTATAATGGTATATTGCCGAGAAAATAATTTTAAGGTGGAAAAGAATTAAAAGCGGAGAAAGACCAACATTGTGAGGCAGAGACCTGGAATGGGAAAGAAGAAATGATGGAGGCATGTTTGGCATCTGGCCATCTAAAGGCCAAAATCATCCTATCCTAATATTTAATTACTTTTGTCTTTTTTTAAAGCAAAAGAATCCGTTTCGATATTATAACTACAATGACTAATAAATTATACATTTTGTATATACATCTCTAATTCTCTATATATAAACCAATCATGCATATCTATAAACATTATGATACATGTATATAGTCATTGTCAATGCCATCCAACCAGATTAAACGTGAGCGTCGTGTTCAGATAATATCTCACGCTTGTCATAAATAGGCAAATAGCAGTCGGATGAAGAATACATGTTATACTAATAACAAGAAATTCTAAGTGGCGGAAATGGTGAAATTAAGCATGTTTAATTAATACAAGAGCTTCGCTGTACACTATCATAGACTCGTATAGTATACCATCATAATTAGATTAACTTTTTGCTCCTTCCTTAATCCAAAATGATTTGGGAGATTCTCTATAACATCCTTAAAATTTCAACAATTACGAGGCGGTCAAAAGCATCCAAGATTCATCTTGTTTTACAGATCCTTCACAGTTCACACACATATTGTATTATATAGTTAATTGTTTGCTTTAATCTTGTCTAGAATCCCCTTTTCCGTTGTAGAAGGGCTATGTAATACCCATTTGGTTATAGACGCGGGTCATATTATTTAGTATTCGAGAATCTAAAGATTTCCAAAATGATTGTTTATGTCATTGGTCTAATGGTTAACTAAAAAACTTTTACAAATTATATGTTCGACACAAAATGTTGTTGCGGTTACAATTTTTTTGAATATTTTGATGATCATTTGTTAAGTTTACTGCATTTAACGATTGTTACATCGAACATAACATCAGCACTACATGCATCATTGCATCGCATGGGGGTTTGGAGTGTTATTATTGTTAAAGAAAAAATTGATGACAGGTAGAGAGAAAATAATAGTAATATTTATGTTTGGTTGATTTAATATCCGTCCTGATGTTGTACCTTAGAGGTATCTTCCACTTATTTATGATAGAGGAAATTTAAAAACTACACCTTTTGAGGTGTCAATTTTCAAAAATACACCTCTATGGTGTCTATTTTCAAAACTACATTTTTTTCATTGATTAAAAGAACTCTAAACCCTAAAATATAAATCTAAAACACTAAAATCTAACATTAAACTCTTAAATCTAAACTCTAAACCCCAAAATCTAAACCCTAATTTAGGATTAGTGAACCCAAACATATATATTAAAATTGGGAAAAAGTGTATTTTTGAAAATTTCCACACTATAGGTGTAGTTTTGAAAATTTGCACCTCAAGAGGTGTATTTCATAAAATTTCTCTTTATGATACAAAGACACAGACATAGACCTCTCGATTCCACAACATCACTCCTTTTATTTAGGTTATGTTGATTATCATATGTGATATTCATAATAAGTAATTGTTAATTTTACAATCACATCAAATATTACGTTTGTTCTTTCGAATATATGAACTAAAATTATAAAACTTTAGAGGTTTGGGTTATCTTATACATATTCGGTTATACAACAAAGAAATTATTTCTTATAATACTGATTTTCTTAAATATTAATCAGAAAATTTTGTACTGCTTATTCAACTACAAAATTAACCTACAAATGAAATCACGTGTGTCAATTTGGAACGGATTAATACTGGTCCGGTACCATAAATTATTTGTTTGGACCGATTTCATATATTACAACAAGTATGGTATAATGGTAACTGTTTTGGGATAAGAAACTACCATGAAAATACATATCTAGTTAAATTAAATTTTAACTATGAAATTCATAATTATAGATTATGCATATAACCTAACCAAAATGTAGTTATAACTAGCGATTTCAAATGTTTAAACGCTGCAAAACTTACTTGTTATTCGAATTTATACTATTATTTATCATTTATTAGATAAATTTTTGGTAGTGATTTTAGATGTAAATGCAAATGCTTGGTTAAAAACTTAAAATATAGCACCCTATATATTATAGTACTGTTTGTGTGATTTGAAATATTATTATTCATCATTTAGTTTACAAATATAAATTGAACTAACAACATAGGAAAATGCATGCTCAAAAATGTGAGCACATATATTAAATTTGAGCTTCATATGAAAGTTTTTTTTATTGAATAGTATACACAAACATATATTTTTCGAATAAGTTTCCTTTTAATATATGATTCCCCGTGATCAAATCGGTAAATAATTGACTAAATGTAATTAAACTTAGACAAACAAAAAAGAAAGAGATTAGTCTAAGAGCATGCTTAACGGTAAGCGCTTAATGGGTGCTTATCTAATATCATAATATAAAAGTTGTTTTAAGCACCTTTATAAAAAATTTCAGATTTTTCTGTTTTAATGGGAGACTCTTACAAGCACCCCTATACAAAACTATGCATATTTTCTGCAAGGATTTCAACATTTTGTCAAGGAAAGTGGAGTAAGCACATTGTACAATCTAGAAATCACCAAACACTAGAGCAAATTCCAATCAAAGATAAGTTCATCTTCTAAGAATGGAATGGTTTTGTGGACAATCACATTCACTGTGACTTCCATTCTCCAACTCTCGCAGATTGCAGCATAATGAGAAGAAGCAGCCAATTCCAGAAGCTTAAACTTCCCTTCTCTGCTTGGAGAAGATTATAGCTTTCTTCTGTTTGGATGATTGAAAAGGTATTGAAAGGTGAAGCAGAGAAGTCTTTGCCTGAAGCTTTCACATATGCTTCTTTGAGAGTCCATAGCTTTATCAACCTCTTACGCTGAGCCTCAATGTCTGTTATAGTCGACCAAAAGCTGACTTCAAGGCCTAAATACGGACAAGTTCAAAGTACTTATAAAGTAGAGCAGCAGAGACAATGAGCACATAAAGAAAGAAACAAGTCAGGTCATGTATTACCATTAACACCATTATTTTGCGGAAAACATCAAGTCCTAGAGCTTTTTGTGTTGAATTGAAGGTGCAGTGATCAGTTCCTACAAGCTGCAGAGATAATACCAAGAAAAGGAGAGATAGAATGTTAGCGAGATCTTATGCTATAGGTCATGATGTTTCTCTACTTTATGAAGAGCAAAGAAAAGAACCGGTCAGGATCCCAAAACCAGTGATCATCAAGGATTAGTCCATACACAACAGACTCTCCAATAACCTTATGCCCTGATTTCCGAGCTTTAGCAATCTCGTCCATGGATCACCACTCAGCTTTCACTCCTAAACTTCATCGTATGCAAAAGCAGAAGGAGCTTCCTCTGAGGCTTTCTTATGCTGCTCCTCAATCTATCAACACAGAATCAACACACATAATCACTGAGATGAAATTTGAAAGAAATCTAAGGAATTATGGAAAGAGAATGATGTGGGGGGGGGAGATCAAAATTAAACTAAATTTCCTAAACTCAATCAACAAGATACAAGCAGAAGAAACACCATTTTCAGTGCTTGAGTGAACATCTAAACCCTAATTAACCACGATATACAGCCGATTGTGGAAGAAAACTTACCATGCACAAAGGAGAAACAATTGTCGATTGAGATCAGCAGCAGAAATCGATGAAGCTTTCCAATCAAAATCAAATCGCCAAAATCGCCATCGGAGAAGAGAGAGGGAGGAGAGAGAATCGAAAGAGAAAAATGACAAAGAAAACGCGTTTTGTTTCTTCTCATTAACGACGAGCCAATAAACTCCTGCCACATGGCAGGTAAGCTTCGACGCTTCTCACGTCTGAATAAGCGTCGGATTCTCTCTTTTTATTTACTTTTGAATTAAATTTGGGCTTAGCGCCTTGCATTAAACATGCTCTAAACTCCAAGGGAAAAAGGTTCCTTCCTTCCAAGTTCTCTCTCTGCGCTTTATTCTGTTCAAATCTGCTGCTTTTGCTTTGCCGTTTCACTGAGAACGAGGCTCACTCTCTCTTTCTCTCTCTCTCTCATTAGAAGAAGAAGAAGAAGAAGCAGGACCAAGTAGAAAGTTTAAACCAGCACTCTCTCTAGTCTCTTCAAATCACTTTTGCTTTCTCTCTCCAAAATCTACCTCATTGTCTCTGCCTGCTTCAAGAACTCTTGTCTCTTCAACACTTTTCTCTGCTTGCTCTAAAACCATTAATTCCCTTAAGAACCTACCCAAAATATAAAGTTCTCTCTTTTGTCTCTCTTGAGTCTCAGAAATTAAACCCATTTCTTAATTCCAGCCTCAGAGACAAAAACCCTTATTCCTAATCCGACTTGACTTTGCTTAGCTTTCTGTCTGATTCAAACAAAGGGGAAAGAAAGAAGCCAATTCTTGTCAATTCATCTTTTTAAAACAATGATTCAACTAAAAAACCCAAAATTGTTCGACATTTCGATTTGATCTCTGTTGTCTTTTGGGGGTTTTTCTTCTCTAGCTTTTTTGGATGGGATTGAGTCTCTATTCCAAGGACAAGTCAAGAACAAGCAGAGACAAATAGTTCATCAAATAAGGAGCAGCAATGAGAGACGACAAATCCAAGAAAAGCAAGGTTTTTGTTGCTATTTTAATTCTTACTCATCTTCATGAATTTTCCCAGATGAACAGTTTTCATTCAAAATCCTTTTTTTTTTTCACTCTAATGAAGTTGTCATGGTCCAAGAAGATGGTGAGGAAATGGTTCAACATCAAAAGCAAAACAGAGGAGTTTCAAGCAGATGTTTCTGCTCCTCAAGGTAAAAAGTCTTAAAACCTGTTCTTGTTCTTTTCTGAAGAGCGTTTAATTGTAATCTTTTGTCTCTTCTAAGAAAAAACAAAAATCCCAATTCACTTTATTTCTTTCATTAGAGTCAATTTACAGTTTCTGTTTCTTCTGCTTTAACCACTGCTTCTCTGTGGAACTTAAAGCTTTAGCAATTGGATTGTTGTCACTAATTTCAGTCTGCTTTATTTTTTCTTATTTTCTCAAATTAATGAAGGAGTTAAAGAAGTTGAGCACAGAAGTAGCTTCTCAGAGAGAGAGCCCTGCACAGTCAAGAAGAACAAAACTGGTAAAAACTCATTCATCAATTACACATATCAAAAGTCAAATCCTTATCAGAAAAGTTTCCTCTTTTTCTCATGATTTCTGATCTTTCACAGAGAAACTCAGCAAGAACTGGGAACAGCAAGCTAGACAAAGGAGAATGAACTATGAGAATCCAAGAATCATCGATGTCCAAAACTATAGGTAAATAATCACACAAATCACACACATAAGTGTCTTATGTTATGATGATCCATTGAGGTTGAATCTTATGTTTGGTTGTACTTGAGAACAGTATCTTCGTAGCTACATGGAACGTTGCCGGACGCTCTCCTCCTACAGATCTAAACCTTGACGAGTGGCTTCATTCCTCAGCTCCTGCAGATATATACGTACTCGGGTATGTCACCACCACAACTTCTTGCCAAGAACCTCTCTCTTTGTTCAAGAAATGTTCTTCATAATCTCTGTTTTCATTTTAGATTCCAAGAGATTGTTCCTCTTAATGCTGGTAATGTTCTTGGAGCTGAAGACAACGGCCCTGCCAAAAAATGGCACTCCCTCATCAGAAAAACGCTCAACAACCTCCCCGGGACAAGCGGCGTCTGCCACACTCCCTCGCCTATCCCCGTCCCCATTGCAGAGATCGACGCTGATTTCTCCGGCTCTTCGAGGCAAAAGAACGCCACTTTCTTCAACAGACGGTCTTTCCAGACCCCAAGCATATGGAGAACGGATGAGAATGACCCTTCAGCTCCACAGACGCGGCTTGACCGTCGTTTGAGCGTCTGTGATCGTGTCTTCTTCAGTCATAGACCAAGTGATTTCGACCCTAGCTTCAGGTGCAACCACAGGGCCAGTGATTACTCAAGAAGGCCTAGTGATTACTATAGACCGAGTGACTATTACGCTAGACCGAGCGATTACTCTCGGCCTAGTGATGTCTCTCGTTGGGGCTCTTCGGATGATGATAACGGTCCAGGGGATTCACCAAGCACATTCTTGTATTCACCTGGCTCTGCATCAAACGAGAATGGCTATAGAACGCCGTGGAACTCGTCGCAGTACTGTTTGGTAGCGAGCAAACAAATGGTTGGTATCTTTTTAACGATTTGGGTGAAGAGCGAGTTACGAGAACACGTCAAGAACATGAAAGTGTCTTGTGTTGGCAGAGGACTAATGGGCTATCTCGGAAATAAGGTATAAATCTTGTGCTTCACTATTAGTAGCTTGTGATGAGTTTAGTTAGTGCACTATTGTAATGTGCTTTTGTGGTTTCTTGTAGGGATCAATCTCTATTAGTATGTTGCTTCACCAAACGAGCTTCTGCTTTGTCTGCACACACTTGACCTCGGGACAAAAAGAAGGCGATGAGCTGAGGAGGAACTCTGACGTCATGGAGATACTCAAGAAAACAAGGTTTCCTCGTGTCCAGAGCTCTGCAGACGAGAAGTCACCAGAGAATATCCTTCAGCATGAGTAAGACAATACCAAAGCATTCAAGAGTTATATGGTACACTTCCTTAGGCTTTTGCACTCAAAAATTTCTTTTTCTTATCTTGGTTTAGTCGAGTGATATGGCTTGGAGATCTGAATTACCGGATAGCGTTATCTTTTCGATCAGCGAAAGCACTTGTGGAGATGCAAAACTGGAGGGCATTGCTAGAGAACGACCAGGTACGTACATTGTAGTAGATACAAAACATATATAAAGCAACACAGTTTCGCATTTCTCATTTCATAGAAACATATTTGGTGCAGTTACGGATAGAGCAGAAACGAGGCCATGTGTTCAAAGGATGGAGCGAAGGGAAGATTTACTTCCCACCAACGTACAAATACTCAACTAACTCGGATAGATACTCAGGTCATGATCTGCATCCAAAGGAGAAACGTCGCACTCCTGCTTGGTGAGTTTTTCTTGCATTTTGAATTTATAGAAACAAGAACTCTGTAATGTAATGTAATGATCTTGCAATGATTTTTGTTTTTGTTTTTGTCACTGAAGGTGTGATAGGATACTGTGGTACGGAGAAGGACTGCATCAGTTATCTTATGTGAGAGGAGAGTCACGGTTTTCGGATCATAGACCGGTTTATGGCATATTCAGTGCAGAGGTTGAGTCAAATCACAAGAGATTAAAGCGAACCACGAGTTATTCCACTTCACGTGTCGAAGCTGAGGAACTCTTACCTTACTCTCGCGGATACACCGAGCTAACTTTTTTCTAAATAAAGGAGTTTCTTCATCCACTTTTCATGGTAACATCTCTCTATTCATAACATTTTGTAAATCTAACCAGGAAATTAGAAGATAACAGATAGAATTTAGTGTTAGTGACATGAAGCTATCAAAGCTAATGTAGTCCATTAGTAATAGTAAATTAGTAATAGTGGTTGTGGTCCTGAAACAAGAGAGTAAATCCACAAAGACTGGTCTGCATTTATTAAGTATCAGCCAAGAGAGTAAGCAACACGTTTCTCTCATATCATTTAAGGCAAAAGAATTGATTTGGATAAAACTGGACCCGGTTTTGCTGTGATAAGATATTCTCTCTGCGGCGTCATCAGCAATAATGGAGATAGAAACTTTCTTGAAACTCTAATGATATTAAAACTCAAGATTTACTGTGTGATTCTCTGTATTTTTGTATCTTTATTCTTCATCAAATTATTATCACTTATGGTATATAATTTTGATTCGGCTTTTTGTCAGGTGAATTAAAGTTTTTTTCTTTAGATTGTTGAAGCCTTGAAGAGTGATGATGGAGACATTCCATTGCTCCTTTTAACACAAAGGAAACAAACAACAAGGTTGGTCCCAAACTTCTCTTCTATGTCTGTTTCCGGTTCGGTTTTTTTTTCCTTAACGGGTGAATCTCCGGTTTACAGGTGTATAAAGAGTTGTGATTTTGTCTTGGTTAACCAAAATTCACATACCAAACCAGTTCTTTCTCTCATGTATTTGCTAATTTTGGGAGGACTTGAAAGTTTTTTACAACGTCGTTATTAGGTAACAAATTCATCTTCATCTCATTTTTAATTTGATCTCGATTTTAATCAGTTAGTAACAGTTTAACTAATTAGAAAAACTTATGTTTTGTGCAGGATTATGAAACTGACAGATGGAAGTTGTTTTTCTAATTCATCAGTCTTTTTAGTTTAGTTAATTAGGGAATAGTTTTTTTCATACTGTTAAGTTATTATAAGTTGAAGTGTGTTCCCGAGACAATGATAGTGCAATGCTTGTTATATAAGGTTTAGCCGTTCAAGTGTAACAAAAAGATGATACTAAAGAAACGAAAAGCAATTGTTTTATTTTTTTTATTCATTATGATTGTTTCCTTACAAAGAAAAAGTGAAAAAGAATCAAAAGATAACGTCTTGTAATGATCATTGTACTGAAAAAGTTAGGGTTTCTTGATGATAACCTCAAAGTTCACTCATTCTCTGATTCTATAGGTGAGTACAAAATTCAATGATTGATTTTACTATCATGAAGTATTATACTATTGCATGAGTCACGGAATTCACACAAACTCAATCATCACAGACTCAGAGGTAATTGTCGATTTCGACATTTTATTATAGGAACAATTTACGCAAACCCATATGACCATAATTCTGGAGCAATCTCAGTTTACCAATCTTTTGTCCCAAGAAACATCAGCGACCAAGTGAATTAAGTGACCAGCAACATTTGAGGCTGTTTAAGAAGAGTTTAAATAGAGTGACCAAGTGAATTCATGGATAAATAGAGTTTTTCTGCAATTTATAAATTCGCATGTTAGTATAGTTTTAAAATTACTATGAAAGAAATGAAAGTCGGCTATATGATCACTAATTAAAATTAGTCAAAATATCAACATATATAACAGCTACTTGAAAATTGTAATTATTAAGACATTCATTTGTTTGAACAAAAAAATGACCCTCGTTTTGAACCCAAAAAAACCTTGGCATTATGTTTATAAACTATAACACTGCGTGCAAAAAGTTAAATAATTTCCAATCATTAGCTTGTTTTATTTACAGTAATTTTTTTTTTTTTAAATTAAGTATATGCTATTTTTCTACTAGTATTTGAGAGAGAATAGTATGAAGAGGTAAATGTAGAAAGAAATGATTGAAAAAAGAGTATGGAACTGTGTGTAGCGAACGAGTGTGTTGTGTGATCTCATGCTTCTCACTTTTTCTATTTGCTCATGCTTTTTCTCTTGTTTCAGCTTTCGTGATTACAACAACACTTGTAAATTCTTTTTTTTTACAAATATATAAAAACCAAAAATCAAAAACATTCTTGTAAAATGTGAAGTCAGAGAATGAGTTCTATTTGTTTTTCATGGAAATTCTTATTTTACAAAACATTAAACATTTAAATAAAGAAGGAATGAAAAGTGTGGTCCAGAAGTGTACATCAAAATGATCCACTATCAAAAGTTACTCCTTTTAAGAGTTGAAATTTATAGAGTTGTGATCTATGTGTGTAGGAGTGGACATTCAGATTAACAAAAAAAGTTTTGATTGTCTCATACGATTAGTTAAACCAATATTATTTGTATTATTGTATAGCTACAGTTTACATGTGTTGGTCAGCCATATTGGATGGGATCTTTATTCAAGCAAGCTAAAAGGAACTTAAAATTCACTTTACATTAGAAAAAATACAAAAATCTCAGAAGTCAAAGCAAATTTATAAAAGCAAAATTTGAACAATGCTGCCTAAAAAACAGGAGTATGATATATAGGCTTTCGTGAGTGGGAAGCGAAAGCAGCCTCACAAGCACATTTGTTTCTTCACTTTCCAGTTAATTTTTCTAGCCACACTTCACTGCATAGAAACACAAAAATAAATTTGAGGAAAGCAACACATATACGACTTTACCACTGATTTACGGGCCATAATTTTGGGCTTCATGGGCTTTCTCCTAACCATGCAAGCATGCACAATATAGGGTTTTTTAGAGAATGGAGCTACACATCAATATATATACTTAAATTTTTCAAATCTTTCCCGAACAAGACTCTTGGGGAATCTAGGTTTTACTGCAAGTGTCTCCGCAATGACAACGAAGCGACGAAAAACACGGCGACCAAACGCCTCAGAGGGTTCAAAGAGTAGAAGAGAAAACTCAGAGCAGATTCCAGTCAATATCATAATCGAGATACTCTTGGGATTGCCGGCGAAATCTGTAGGGAGATGTTGTTGTGTATCCAAGTTATGGGCGTCCTTACCTCGCCGTTCAGATTTCATGGAGCTGTTCTTGACAAGGTCTTCCTCTCGTCCGCAGCTCTTATTCGCTTGCCAAAAAGACGGTGGCTTGTTCTTCTTCTCTTCACCTCAGCCTCAAAATCCCGATGAGAACTCATCTCTTGTAGCCTCCGCCGGTTATCACATGAAACTTCCCGATAAATATATGCTTGAAAGAAAATTTCGTCTTGTCGGAGGTTTGATCTTTCTACAAGCTTATCGGTTTTTAAAGGGAGATAAAAATACATTATCAGCAATATTAGCACTGGACAAGCAAAGTCTTAACCTTACCCTTACACTTACCTTTTCCCAAAGTGACGAATACGAAGAGATTTGAGACTGGGACAGGGGTAAGCAGCTATTTCGGGTATGATCCTATTGAGAAACAATACAAGGTATTGTGTATGACGTATCCTGTTCGTGGAGAGTGGCGGATGTCCGAGGAGCAATATCAAGTTCTTACATTAGCCGGAGAAGAACTGTCATGGAGAAGGATCAAATGTTCAAAACCTCATTATCCTATAGGTAAAAGGATATGCATCAGTGGTATATGCATCAATGGTGTTTTGTACTATCCAGCTTATGGGAAATACAAGAAGTTGACATCATATGTTGACATGTTAGTTTGCTTTGATGTTAGGTCTGAGAGTTTCAGCTATATTAAAGTCAAGAACACTCTCATTAAAGCAGTGAAAGATGGAACTCTAATAAACTACAATGGTAAATTAGGAGCGGTTTTGACTAAAGGGCCTCGCTTTAACATGTGGGTTTTAGAAGATATTGAGAAAGAGGAATGGTCAGAGCATACATTCGTATTGCCACCTTCATGCCAATATATGATTGGAAACAACTATTTAAGTTTTGTTGGGGTGACTTGTGGAAATGAAATTGTCTTGTCACTACTCTACAAAATGTCCAGCCAGAACGTGCCCTACTACATTTACTACTACAATGTCGAGAGAAAAGTTTACACATTCGTAGACCATGTCGAGAATGTGAAGCGTATGGAAATGTTTTCTACTTAGAACTTCATAATTATAGATTTTTTTTTTGTAACAGAATATCTATGAGCCTTTAATTTTTTTAATTTCAGTCATTATGCCATGGGATTGCTATATTCTGTTTTTATGTGACGGTGTTCGCCTTTTTTTCTTTCACTCGAGAGCAATGGTTATGCTAAAGACAAGTTTTAGCTATAGCTTTGTAAACTCTTCTTCTTCATCAACTTTGTGTATTTGTGTCTTCATGACTTCTACGTTAGTCATCTATAGGTTTAGAAAGCTAAGACTTATCTTCGTAAGATTTATGTAGGCATTATGATGGAGAGGCGGAAGCTAGATAACGAAGATACACGAGATTTGTGTATAATCGGGTTTGAAATAAACGTAGAAGATCTACGTTTAGATCGATAGGTTGGGAATACTCTTCCCCGTGCTATAAAAGCTCGATAGAGGTTGGGAATACTCTTCCCCGTGCTATGAAAAGCTCGTTTAGCTACAAAAGCTTAAGGTTTATTCAATATCAAAAGTTATCTTTTACAAAGCTAAAGAACGTCCTATTTATATGAACGCAAGAAGATCCTAATAGTATCTCTACATCCTAATCTATAATAATCTACAGTAAAACCTCTATAAAACAATAATGTTGGGACTTTGAAATTTTATTATCTTATAGAGTTATTATTTTATCGATAAAATAATTATTATTTTATCGATAAAACAATAATTATTATTTTATAGAAATATTCTATCAAAAACAAGAAACTTTATAGACATATATTTTTTCACTTTTTTATTCAAATTTTCCTTATACTTTGTTATTTACATATTTCATGCTCAGAAGTTCAAAATCTAGAAGAAATTATGTCTAATGTTCTTAATGGTGAAGATGAAGTTGAAGATGATGAGGAAAGACATGTGCAAGTAGTTAAGCAATTGTGGCTTCGAGAACTCTTCACAACTTTTGGCTGCAAGTTGAGAATACATCACAGAAATTGTAGATCCAATAAGAAAAATTCGAGATGAGCTCCAACGGGAATCCAACTTTCAGAAAAGACAAACTACATTGGAGTCATATTTTACTAAATTGTCTTAGATATATATGCCTTAGTTTTATAATTATTATCTTAGGTTATTGTTGGGACTATATTTTTACATAGGAGTTTCAAAAATATTATTGTCTTATCATCTTATCGCATTATGCTATTTTTTACATTGGCCCGAGTTGGGACCGGAGAAAATTATTGTCTTATAGTGTTTATTGTTTTATCGAGTTCTACTGTATAGTTATCTTTAAATAAAAGAATCCTAACAACAAATCTAAGCAAATATATACTTGACAA